CCACGTAGGCGCCCTCCAGCTGGTAATACACGTCGACGTAGTCTCGTAGCTACACGAAGCCGAACCTCCGCCACAAGGCGAGCAGGCGCCATGGCTGCGGCTGCTGCGGCGGCCATCCCCAATCAACCACCTAACCCGCCTGCGCGAACCCCTGCGGCTCCACCAGATCTTTATTTAAATGACCCAGCACATCATCTCGCCGGAGCATGGTTGGCCACGCTCCGAGCTCAGCGGTATACGAACGATGAAGCTCAGATTAACATCCCCGCGCGGATGGGGGGAGACGTCCATCATTGGTATAGCACTTATGTATGGGTGGATCTTCCCACATTCGAGCGGGATTTCATGAACCACTTCGATTATGTTCACCCCGAACAAGCACTCTATATGATCAAGGATCGAGTCCAGAAACCACTCAAATCCATTACCGAGTATCGGAACAGATTTCATCGAATGTTTGTAAAGACTGAGCGAGGCGAGCAGGTAGGCCGGGACCTGTTCATTGATGGACTACGTAACAGAACGATTCGGGGGAAGCTACGTAAAAACTTCTCTCCCATTAATCACATGCTGTAACAAATTATGGACGCTGCCGAAGAGATGGAGCGGAAATTTGCAGCTAGCTTCTTAGAAAATGAGGATTACGGTAGAGAAGGAGACTCGTCCGAACTTGTGAAAGCAAGGGAGGAACTGGCCGCACTACAAAACAAATTCGAAAACATGGGATTCGTAGCCGGACCCGTTACGTATGTAGAGCAGGTAACACCGAGGACCACACCCCATGGAGCGACTGTAGATAGGCAGATCCCGGTAATGGCGTCCCCAACCGTAACTCGGCCACCTCCACCGCCACCCACCATCGAGTCACCCGCAAAAACGAATGAGTCTACTGCTATCTTGGAGCTAACTAAAACATTGGTTAGTTTAATCCAAGAAAGCAAAAAGGAACAACGAGAACACAACGCCCGATTAGAAGCTATGATGCGGAATATGCGACCCATTGCGGTGTGAGCACCAATGCAGTGAGGCATGGCTGTTGCACAAGTGGCAGAGGGGCCAACCGGGACAGCGACAAATGCATGTTTTACATGTCATCAACCGGGACACTTGGCCCGAGATTGCCCCCATCGTGCCATGCAGCCCCGAGTCGGGATCGCGTCTGCTGCTGCAGCTCCCATAGCTAACGGCCTAGGACGTGTAGGAGCCGTGATGGATGATCAGGGGGGAAGTACGGGAATGATGATTTCCAGTGAGGAAGCAGCTGAGCTTATCCCACTGGAGCAGTACGTATCACTAGGACACCCGGGGCTGGAAATGATTGGGACAATTCGACCGGAACTCGAGTCCAGGGATGTCGCAGAATGGCGGCCTTCGTCGAGCGAAATGGAGACGGGAGGCCCTACCTTTGTAACAGGAGAAAACGATGTCATTGAGGTCACTCGAGCACTCGATCATCGAATCCCTCTCCCAATCGGCCACCTACTCTCCATCTCGGGACAGGCGAACGAACGCATGATGCAGCATTGCAAAGCGAACCGGAAGCGATTCGATCTTGCCTGCGCAAAAGAACAGAAGACGAAGGCGCCGCCTTGGGAGGAAAAGGCGGACGTCGCCCCTGATCCCACCCGAGTCGGATTAATACAGAAAGATGACCACTTTCTTCGGATCAAGCCGATTCCGTGGAAGTCAGCCGAATGTGATATTGAAGTCTGGGGAATGTCGTATAGTGCGATCATAGATTCGGGAGCGGCTGTCCTAGCGATATCACTCCGAGCAGTCGAGAGAGCGGGTAGGAAGAATGATTTGATTATGCTTACCGAGAAGGACCAGCTCGTATCGGCTGACGAAGAAAAGATCAAGACAGTAGGACGTATGACGAATGTCGCGTTCCGATTGGGAAAAGTGCATTAGGAGATGTTGTGGTGCTAGACGTGAATACGTATGACGTTCTGTTCGGGCTTCCTGCATTAGTGGCGCTGCGTGCTAATTTGGACTTCGAACGCCGATCCGTCATTCTCCGGAATACCGGGGGAAGGCCGTATGTAATACCCATGAGACTAACTCTTCGAACGACGGTTAAGGTAGTACCCCGAATTTCTCCAGAAACAATGGGAGCGCTCCGCATGGTCTCCTGGAATGCACTTGTGGACGGAAGCCAATCATCGAACGACGCGTGGAGCGACGACGATGACGACCCAGTCGTTACGCGGTTATTACGGCAGCAGATTCGCTACCCGCTGCCTCGCACTATTGCGCGCACCATGCATCTAACCACACAAAATGCTCATATGTTGATCATGGGAGAACCCCTCGTACAGATTTCGAGGCTGGTTGATTCCTTGGAACGGACCCTGTACGAAGGCGTATCTCCCCTCCTCCTTCGCTATAGTGACAAGCATTCCTTTTGTGATCTCACTGGCTTACCTCGATCCCTGCTTCAACCCGCCAAAGAAGTTCAGTTGTTGCGTTTGGGAGCCAAAGCAGGTTCTTTGGAACCCCCTCAGCACATCGAGGCAAGATCCGATGAATTCGGGATCAAAATCTTACCCAAAAACGTGCCCTGGCGAGACATCTGCGACGGGATAACCCTCGAAGGTCATACAGCGATCAGGGAGGAGGAAGCACAGATGGTGGCCACTGTGTTTTCTTGGAGATCGGATCACTCTTTTATATCTGCACCGCCCGACACTACTCGGCGTATACACACGAAGCAGGTTAACGTTCGGATTTTGGATAAGATGTATGAATTGCATGTGCCCCAGTATGTACCTGATGAGATTCATCGGTTGATCGCTGATATTTTAATAGAATATCAAGGGGCGATTAGCGTGTCCGATGCCGATATTGGATTATCCGTGGTCGTTCAGCATGAGATTCGGACCGGGAATCATTCCCCGATCCACTGCAAGTCGTACCGATACTCGTTGACAGAGCGCAAGACGGCCTTGTTGTGAATCAGGGAATTTGAGGCAAACGGATGGATTGAGCGTGCCACCGGTCCCTGGTTGTTTCCAGTTGGTTCCTAAAAAGAACGGGTCAGTCCGCATATGCATCGATTATCGAAAGTTAAATGATATCATGATTAAAGATGTGTATCCCCTTCCCCGGATTGATGATCCACTTGACGCGATTGGGTGTGCTAACTACTTCAGCAAGTTCGACATTCGGCATGGGTTTCATCATATCTTGGTGTAAGAAGAAGATCGGCCCAAGACCGCCTTCGTTTTGTTTGAAGGCACGTGGCAGTGGGTTCGGTGCCCGATGGGAATCTGCAATGCGCCTGCCACGTTTCAGCGGGCGATGAACGTGACTTTTTATAATTTCGCCAATAAGACGCGGCTGACTCAGGGGATGATTAACTTTTGTGTCATTGTGTACATGGATGACATTCTGGTGTACTCGGACACGTTTCACGGACACGCGCAGCACATCGAGTGGACGTTGGGTGCGTTGAGAGACGCAGGTTTCAAGATTGCGCTGGAGAAGAGCGAGTTTTTCCTCCCGGAAATCTCGTTCTTGGGGTATGTGGTGACACGTGGAGGCCTGCCGCCGGACTCTTGAAAAGTGGCGGCGATCAAAGAAGCCCCGGTTCCGATCTCGCTGACGCAGGTTCGAGCCTTTTTGGGCCTGGCCTCGTATTACCGGCGGTTCATCAAGGGGTTCGCGGCTGTAGCAAGGCCTCTGACAAACCTGCTGCGAAAAGAACAGCCCCTTCATTGGGATGACGAGTGCGACCAGGCCTTCGGGGCCCTGAAGGATGCTCTCGTCACGGCCCCGATTTTGATCCGGCCGGACCCCTTTCGGCAGTTTATTCTCATCACCGACTGGCAGTCAGAGGCTATTTCGGCCATCCTGGCGCAGAAGGGAAACGATGGGAAGGAGCATGTCATTGAGTACGCTTCTCGGACGGTGCCAGACGAGTGACGAAACGATTCCGCGCCACAAGGAGAATGCTATGCGGTAGTGTGGGGTATCCAACACTTCCATCCGTATTTGTACGGTCAGAAGTTTCTGCTCGTCACCGACCATGAACCTCTGTTGGCTCTGAAAAAGCTAACCAACTACACGGGCATGATCGGACGATGGGCAGTGCAGTTGCAAGAATATGAATTCGACATTGTTCATCGAAAAACGGAAAGACACGGCAACGCTGACAGACTGACACGTTTGCACCGACCCGGTAAAGTACCAAAAGCGGAAGAGATCACACCGTGGAAGGACCCGAACATCAACAACGGTCCAAAGTACGGAGAAGTTGCGGTTATTCCATGTGGAAAGAAGCCGGTAAAGGGCAATGGGTGACGGAGGTAATGTCCCGATTCCCTCTCTTTCTTCCCCATCCTCTTCTTTCGCCTCCCTTCCTGACAAATTTGCTATTTGTGCGAGGCAATTTCTCGAGTCTGTTCCGTCCACATGTGTCCAAAAGGGACGGGATATGTTGAATGGGTAGATTGTCGGAAATGTGTCGCACGTGCTCACGGTGCGTGCATACAGTATCGGAGTAGTGATAGACCCTGGTTCTGTCCCTTATGTCGCACTGACAAGATTCCGACGGAAGCCCGATTCCTCGATGCCACGTCGGAAGGCCCCGACAAAATCCAGAAGTTTAGAAGAGCGGAAGTCTGGACAGATGTCGCCTTGATAGCCACGGTGGTAGGCAACTCCCTCGAAACCTTCTCCAAGGAGGATCGGAGGAGGGTCAATGAAAGAGCACGGGATTACCGATGGGTGGATGGACGGTTAGAGAAGCGTAAAACGGACGGCAGTGGAGCATGGTTGGTAGTTCCGCACCCGTTCATGCGGTACGACTGGGTACGAACCGCCCACGAGGAAACGGCGACGCATTTTGCCGTGCGTATTACCGAAGCTGCGATTGACAGAAATCAATGGTACTGGTGCAATATCCGAGACGGCGTTAAATTCATCGTCCAACACTGCCAGGTCTACGCTGCTGACAAGGCCCCAACCCAACCGCCTAGGTCGATAGTCCCAACTGTGGTTAAAAGGCCGTTTCAGAGGGTTAGTATGGATACTACGGATATAGTGGTGCCCCCTGGACCGAATAGTTGCGACTGTTCAATTCTGCTGGTTTTCGTCGACCACTTTTCTAAGTGGATCGAGGCCTACCCCTGCAAGACACGACAAGCCGCGAAAATCGCGCGGTACGTCAACCGTTTTCTGGGCATGCACTAGGACACAGAGGAGATCCTGACCGACAATGGGGTCGAATTTAGAGGAGAAGTCGAGAGGAACCTGGTCATACACGGCGTCTCCATACGGCACACGGCCCCGCACATGTCCCAGTCTAACGGATTAGTGGAAAACGCGAATAGGGTGATAAAAACGGCCTTGCGGCGGAATATTGCGGCACGAGACCCTCGACCCTGGCCTGATATTGTTGACCGCATCTTGGCGGTTCATCGCGGAACGCCCCACGAATCGACGGGCCTGAGCCCCTTCCAGCTGCGGACCAATAGTGTCGCGTGTGTATCGATACCGAGCCTCCTTGACAAATCAGGACTCAACCGACGCCCCATAAGGGCCACCGCTCGGGACAAAGCCAAAAGGCACTTGGAACTCATGGAGCGGTCCCTACCTAGACTGGCTCGGAAGCGCCAACGGTCCACCGAATTGGCCCACGGCCGACCGGTCCGGAGTAACGAGGCCCGGAACGGGAATGCGGGTCCCAGGACCCAGTATAAGTTAGGGGACATCGTGCAGGTAAGGAAATGTGCGCGCCAGGGTAAACTAGCGCCACGATTCTTTGGACAGTATCGGGTGATTGAACTCGGACCCAACGGCGTGGACACCGTGCGCCTCGCTCCCGAGATTTTCGGCAGTCGATCAGCTCGCCCGATCACACGCCACGTGTCCTATCTCCGTCTTCTTCCCTTTGTTCTGTCTCCTTCTCCATCAACCTCTCCCGACGTCGACTCTATCTCCTCTGCATCTCCTTCTCCTTCTCAATCTCTATCGGATCCGCCGTCACCCTCGCCATCGCCATGAGCTTTATGGAGGAGAGAGCTCTAAGTGAAGAAGCGCTGGTAGCACGGGGGAATTTGACACTGCGGCAGGTGCATCATCCTCGTCTTAGTCCGGACCTTCAGCGGGTTGCGCAATTCTTCTACTCGAAGGGCGTCTTGCGGCAGCAGAGATCCACGTCGACGGGAGGGCTGACACGATCATATTGGCCGAAGCTGTCGGGTTGCGGCAGCGAACATCTGTGGACGTCGGCCGGATAACGGTGGTGGTTAATTTCAGTGGGGATCTCACGGCGATCCCCCCCATCCGACACACGAGAATCAAGGCGACGTTGCTTCTGTGGGCGCACAATCTTCAGAACGAGTGGACCCAGATCCTGCCGCACCAAGGGGACGTGATCGCACCAATCGGAGCGATCAAATACAACGGCCTTCGGGGATCGGCGTGACTCGCCGACGCAATTACCCCCTCTCATCCCCTTCCATCCCCGATGAGTTCCTTCCCGATCTCTACTTTCGAGCTTCCTTCTTCCTTCCCCACCTTTTGGCAGTCCGATCTTCATCCCCGCCTCTCCTTCTGCATAGATCCTCTGGTTGTTCCCCTCATCGATCCCTCTCAGTGGGACGCGTGGCGCGGAGACTTCATCGAACTCTCACTATGTTTTGCGGAAGTACGGGTGACGTGGACGAGGGACGAGAGCAATTATCCGCAGTCTGAGCGATTGGAGCTCCTTTTGATTCAGCCGTGGCGGACGGAAGTAGAAGGGGACCTTCTCGGTTTTCTATTCGGGGCAGTGCGTCCAGGCTGTCGGAGGGTTCTCACCCAGGAGCTTACGGTCCCAATTGCGCAGGTGGCCGACCATCTTGACGTCAGCATTGTCTCCCAGGTCGACCCGCGCTTGGTGCCCCACGTCACCTCGCGCACACTGTCGCCGTATCTTCAGTGGTCAGCTTGCGTGGAGGGCTTCCCATCGAGAATTCCGCCTTCACAGTTGGATTATTTGGATCCTCGCGACATCGTGGATCCCGCTTTCTATAGACCGCCGTACGAGGACGAAGTGGAGGAGATAATTCGCGAGGAGCTCGCGGAAGAAAGTTCGGAGGAAGAGGAGGAGAATCTGAACGAAGACGAAGGGGAGCCGGCACAGCAACAAGAAGGAGACGAAGATGAGCTCCTGCAAACGGAGAGCGAAGAAGAAGCAGAAGAAGAAGACAGCAAGCAGGGGAGCGGAGATGACAACGACGAGCAGCAGGCCAACGAGGATCCCCAGCTAGAAATTGCGCCGGTTGCTGATCTTCCGATCAGCAACGATCCAACGCTCGACCCGGAGCCACCTCAGCCAGACGACGGCCATGTGGCCCAGGTGGCTGGGCCGTTCGCTCGCCGGCCTCCTTCCCCACCGAGACACCGACGACGAAGCCGCTCCCCCTCCGCCTCCCTCTCCCTCGCAGCCCGTCCCCCACTTCGAGCACGTCGAGATGAGGCCGATCGGTCTTCGTCCTCGGGCTCTCTCTCTCCGCCCCCATGACTTCCTCACCCTGCACCAGCTCACCCGTCCCGCCGTCTTCCCCCACAACTCCTTCCCCCGCGACACTTTCCGTCATTACTTCTCCATTCATCTCTCTGTCACAGTCCATCCCCACTCATCCTCCCGGCGTGCTTCCCCCGAGTTCCCTCTCCATGTACTTCTCTTCAGCATTGGCGTCGTACTAACGCCGTAGAGGTTTATTGCCTCATCACGGGGTTAATCCCCGCATATGCCGATCGCGATCGCTTTCGCGCGGCGCTTCTTAGAACCTTCGCCACTCTTTATCCCGACTACCTCACTTCTCTCCCCACTACTGGCCGCCGATTCCCCCGCTTCCATAGAATCGTCCATCATCGGAGCCTTCCGGAGACGGA